ACATAGAGATTCAGTACAGTTGGGTGAAGAGGAGTGCCAACTCATTTGCGGATGGGTTGGCCAAGCAAGGAGTGAACAGGGAGGTTGTTTTCTGGGCTAGTTTTTAATTTTCTTTGCTTTCCCTGAGTTTTCTGATTTTTGGGGAGCTAAGTTATTTTATCTCCCTTTGTATTCCTTTCCCTCTATTCTCTTAACTTAATGAAATTGATGTTATTGATCAAAAAAAAAAAGGAGAACAAAAAAAGTAGTGGACAAAAAACTTCAAATTGCATTGGCCTTGGAAAACTAATCTCTACTTCCATGTTATTATTTTTTTCTTATCAGTCCACATAATGACTTTTTCTTTTATAAGTATGCAAGTATATATAAATGAAGAGTTTAACAAAATTATGCAAACAGAAGTCAGAAATCAGTTCCTGTACACAGAGATTGTCTACAACATCTTTTTCCAGCTAGTTGCCATCCTCATTAGGTCATCTAGGTAAATAAAACATATGTATTAAGGCTTGGGGCTTACAAGGAATAAACCTCTAACCTTTTCAAAAAGGCAGGCATGTAAGGGATGATACCATCACACATCACAAAAAGAATCAAGTGTGTATGAATTATGATCTATTTGGACTGCTTCTCTCTTACACAAAAAGAATACTGGATAGGTACATAATGATCTCCTATAAACTCTAAAACTCCTGCATTACTGGATAAATTGCATTTGACACTTCACAAGAAATTTAACTTTCACCAATAGTGCTCCTATAGATGGTCTCCAAAACTTTTCACCACATTAACACACCAAAGCATCGAATTTACTTCACCCAGTTAAGCTACAACCCTGCCTGTTGTTCAATCTCTATGATTTTGGAAGAACAAAAATCTAATACTTTTTTGCACAATGAATTCCCAGGTTCCAATTTGTCCGGACAAATTTATGTTTGATTCTTCCAGCTCACTTACAAAGTTCATGATAGATGACGGATCGGGTTATTCATATTTACAGAGTTTTGAACGATTTTTATTCTTTAACCATTACGCTTAGCAACGTCCCATTCTTGTACTGGTAAAACTCGGGAAAATTTATATGAAAGAACATATTTCTTATCATATTCTTGGGTGAGAAGAAACTGCCTTAGCACCTGCATTTGAATCCCTATGCAACAACTCAATTTGAAGTTACTTTTTTTCTCTTTTTAGTAAACCTCTTGGAAGCTACTTGAAAAGAAGTAATTGATCATTAAGAGATTACACTGTACTGTCACACAATTAAAGGTTTAAAACATCCAAGCAGTACCTTGTCTCGTTCCAGTATGCGGCCACTTCAAACCTTGGCAAAACCAGAGTTGCATTCAACAAACGAGCAATACCAACTCCATCACACAACTGCACTCCCCACAGAACACCAGAAAGAAAAATGAATATTGAAACGTTGTCACAACTGAGAGAAGTAAAAATGACTAAATTTCGAGGAACTCAACGAAACACACATCACGTCTCATCTGATTAAGTCCACCATAGCAATCCACTCTGATATATCCATTACTCTTCGCCGATAGAGCTGCAGTAATTTCAACAAAAACCAATGCAATTGTCTGCAATGAAGCCAATTACGAAGAATCCATGTTAAAAGAAAAATTAAAAGATAGCTAGCCCTAGTCCAAATTTAAACCCTGAGACCTGAGCACTAACCGGCAGGATCTCCTTCTAGCCACCATTTACAAGGCCTCCATTCTAAGACTCTGTGAACACTCCATATGTCCAGCTTCCCACGACGAGAAGTAGACCTGTTTCGTGATGAGAACAATATATCAGGGAAAAAACTACCTAGTCAATGAGCCAAACTTGGTGCAGAGTGCAGACTAAAGAGATCAGAATACATACCGTTGTAAACTCTGTGCAATTAAGCTTTCAGAAAATGGGACCGAAGGAAATAAGACTACCACAGCAATAAGTAGAGAGAGGACGACCAGGAAAACGCTGAAAAGAGGCTTTACAGAGAAAACGACCATTGATATGTTTGTCTTGAAACCCTAAACCTTGGCACAATTGAGATGAGCCAATCAAAGAGAACGAGAGTAATGGATGATGAGAAACAAGGTTAAGTTAGGAATTCGAAACAGAGTAACAATAGATCGAGAACCAGAACCAGGATTAGGCTTTTGTTTTCGGGGAGAGAAGAGAAGAGTAGTAGATCTATTTTAGTTACCGACCCGACGGTTTATTCAAAAGGAGATGACTCGATGGATGATCTACATTTACTACTCGCGGGAGGCGCCAGGCGGAGAAAATTAAAGGACGGTCCAGATAGGATACTCCCGGTGCTACCATATTTTTCTTCTACGACTACGATGGTACCACGTCTTATCAATATCATTCGTTCAAAAGGTACATCTATGGCTCTATTGATCCCCACCCCGAACTGGATGTCCGGGTGATCATTTTCAGCCTGGTCTGCCCTAGGCCCTAGCCCGCAGGTTTGGGCCTAGGTTCTGTGTTTATGCAAGTTTGGGCCTGGGCTGCATCAAGTCCAGAAACTTTTGGGCAAAGCCTAGGCTTAATACTTTAGGCTCAACCCAACCCACTATATCTTATTTTATGTTATATTTTATTTTTTATACATAAATATTATAATATAAAACTATAATCCATAGATTATTATATATTTATATTTTAAACATATTTTTAAATATCATTTAATATAAAATATTTCATATTTAAAGACTTAGGCCCAAAGTCCAACTCAGGCTCATATAGTCCTATACCCAGCTATAACCCTTATCATAGGTTTAGGTGCTAAACATGATTCAATCCGAGCCCATGTTCACCCCTACTGGATTCTGTGTTGTTCTTCAATCCTCATTTCATCTAATATTATTACATGTTTAGTGCCTATCTGGGATAAAGGTGTAAAACGGGCTAGTACGGCATGGCTCGTGCAAAGTACGGGGCCTGTTATGCTGGCCCGTGAGTTGTCTCAAGTCGTGTCATTTTTTCCTGGGATAATTTGAGGGTCATTCCGGCATGGCCTACGACCCAAACCCATACGGGCTTATGTCGTGCCGTGGGCCAGGTTGAGCCGTGGAGCTAAAGCTATTTATTTAAAAAAATTGAAAAAAACTTAAAATTTTAATTTTATATGAATTTTGATGTATACAATTGCTTATATATACAATAATTAGATAAATTAGTATAATAAAATTGAAAATAATTATTTATTTTATTAATATATTATATACTATATATTATTATATAATTATAATTTATATAATATTATATAATATATATTATATAAATAATATATATGGGTCGTGCTGGGCTATGCCGGTATGTGGGCCGTGGGTGATATGGCTGGCGGACCTAAAACCACAGGCCCAGCATGACTCACACAATTGTGCCAAGCCTGGCATGACCCATAGACCGTCGTGTCGGGCTGGTCCACGAGCGACATGGCCTGGTTTACACTACTAGTCTAGGAGGGCTGAAATACAACGGTTTCCAACCTTCCAAGGTGGGCCCCACACAGATGGTCTATAAGCTATGTTTGATTGATGAAAAATTATGGAGAGTCCAAATTGTTGTCACTGCTCCCTTGAAAGCTTAATAGCTTATTTGGAGTGTTCAATAATTGTTGAACCAACTTAACTGAATCTTCAGCTCAACCCTCCCAAACCAACCCTTAGAATGGTTGTGCTGAGCATACTACAGGGCTATGGCAGCAGTATAAACAATTAAACAAACCACCTTTGATTGGATATTGATAGATTGAGAGAGTTTAAGTGCATTTGGATTGTGGAAAATTGAAACCCTAATGCTATGTTTGGTTCGAAGGAAAAAGTAGGGAAAGGAAAAGAAATGCAAAGAAACCTATACAAGATTTGTAAAGGTTCCCCTTCTTTTTCTTTCCTTTCTCTACTTTTTCCTTCAAACCAAACATAGCCTAAAAGAAATTCAAATGCTCATTAATTAAGATAATTAGTATTAGAAGTTAGAACACATGTGAATTGAGGGGGTGTTATATATGAATGATTTAATTTTTCGGGAAAAAAACAATATGATTTTTTTGATGTGGCAGTTGTTTCTGTTTTAAATACATATGCAAATAAGTATTAACCATACACCCATGCAACACGTTAGCTAGTGTGAGTCTTAAAAAAGGGTCCGGATGTACTAGGCATGTAGGGGTCAATGGGATTTTTGTTCCCATTGACTAAGATACCCATATTTTTCTTAGATTTATGTAGGGTCTACAGAAAATTTATTTTCCCTAACCATCAGTTACTTGGTAAGTGATACCCATCTCTTATGTGGAGGTAAATAGCTTTACCACTTGGGGGAAAGTTGCTAACACTTGAAGTCTTGAATGAGACAAAAGTACCCCTTTTAATAATAACTTTTTATGGCTAAAACAGTCATTTTCTTATTTACCTGAGAAATAAAAGATCATGGGTAAATATACTTAGTTTAATCGAATAAGCATTTCCCAAGAAACATGTTCCCGGATAAATAACTTCCCAAAAAGTGAAAAAAGCCTAAATATTTAAAACATTTCAGATAAAAAAAAAAATCTCTTTCATAGAAAATTTTATTGATGAATCTAAAACACAACATCAAACACTACCACAGTACCAAACGCCTCCATAGATTCTCAATATTTCATAAAAAAAAAAGCGGTAATAACAAATAGGCGCATAATATGGATGAAGAATCTTGTCGATGATAAAATTGACCTGACGGGATGCCATTATCTTGCATTTTCTTTTGTGTTAATAGAATACAGTTTTCTTTCTTTCTCTTTTTTTCTTTTTTGAGAAGAATAGAATACAATAATATTATATTATTTTTATATGGTACATGGCCATTGATCAACGCGGGATCCACAAAACCATCATTATCTACTTTTAATATATATATATATATATATATATATATATATATATATATTAATATTACCTTTTCGAATATATTTATTCTTAAAAAACTATTTTATTTTATGACTGGTGAAGGTAGTGCCAATAAGGACTGGTGAAGATGCTATGAAATGTCCATCATTATCTATTTAATATATATATATATATATATATATATATATATATATATATATTAATATTACCTTTTCGAATATATTTATTCTTAAAAAACTATTTTATTTTATGACTGGTGAAGGTAGTGCCAATAAGGACTGGTGAAGATGCTATGAAATGTCCATCCACAAAGAGTAAAAAACTTAATTTTAACCGAATTATGGGCCAATGGTCATTAAAGAAGGTTTTCAATTGTACAAGAGAGTCGTTGTGGAATTCAATTTGAAATAAACGATGAAGATGAACCATCTAAGAGTTGAAACAAAGGGAGGTACCGCAGTAAACAAGTACCCATCCTCTTAAGAGGATGGCGGATGTTGGGTAACATGATTTTTTCCTTTTTTTTTTATAAGGTAAAACATAGTACAAAAACATTATATGAAAACAGAAAAGTAGTAACAGTGTTAAGCAAGAATACAAGTCTCTATAGAGAACAAAATATTCACAATGGATAAAGGAGAAAATGAAAAAAACTTTTGCAACAGACAAAATGTGAGGCAGAATCACCAACATAAGAGATAAATGAACACATCTCCAACCATCGAAAGAAAGGGATAAATACAATATAGCGATTCTTCATAACTTTAACCATCTGGAACCATAACCGTTGAAACTTTAACGAATTGGAACTAAATAGAACTTTAAAAGTCTAGAACCATAATTGTCGGAACTATTATCGTTGGAACTAGAACCAACTGAAAGTTTAACCACTCGATAAAAGTGACCACCGAAACTGTTATCATCGGAAGTGGAACCAACTAGAACTTTAATCACCTGGAACTGAGACTGTCGGAACTATTATCGCCAAGAGTGGAATCAACTAGAACTTTAACCACCCAAAACTGAAACTGTCGGAACTATTGTCGTCAGAACTAGAACCAACTGGAACATTAACCACCCGGAATTGTAATTGCCGAATTTGTTATCATCGGAATTGGATCCACCCAGAACTATAAGTGCCGGTGAAGTAAAATAAGGAAACAGTCACCAACGGTGAATCAAAGTAGCGATTAAGGCCATCGCCCAACACTCCGCCTCCTATACTAAAATCCCTGCAAAAAAAGAATAAAAGAAAAAACAAGGAAAAAGAAAAATAGAGAAGAAACGAAAAAAAGTGGAGGATAGTGAGGGAAAGGGAGAAGGGAAGAAGAAAATAGAGAAAAAAGGGAGAGAGTGGGAAGAAAATGAACGACTGAAATGCAAACATGAAAAGAACCTGAAAACAACTCCAAGATGGAAGAGAAGAGAGAGAGGGAACCTTTCTCTCCTCCTATGTGATAGGAGAGAGAGAGAACTGCCTGCAATTTTTTTTTAACAATTGCTACATAAGCAAAATAAATATATTTTTGTTAATGTGGCAGTTGTTTTTTGTTTTGAAAAACAAAGCGTACACGTTGGCAAACAACCCATAAGTTGATTCTGTCTTAAAACGTTGTACAAGGAATCACCTCTTATTGTTATAGTATAAGGGCAAATGTCATGCACATGTGCAAGTACAGATGAAGAAAAAAAAAAGATGATTTTTTGGTATATATTAAAATGTATTAATTCATTGTTTGAATTTAAAAATTCAAATATTTGAACAATATTGCCATTTACAAGTATATATTAAAATTTTGAAACTTATTATCATATTTCTTTAAATGTTTCAACTCATTGTTTGACTTAAAAATTAATATATTTGAGCAACTGCCATTTATAAGTATTAACATTATATGATATATATGATGCGAATAAAATATTGTAAAGGGAATCTCATAAGTCATTTACAAAAATAATTTCCATCTACTTTCACTTTCTCCAAAGGTATACATTATGCAATTTGTCACTAATTCCAAATAGTTTGTTTGGAAAGGGGATGCCCAATAAGAAGTAAATATCCTATCAGAGTAATCTCCCAACCCCGCATGGAGCAATGACAATTGACAAGTCTATTTTTGATTCCAGTAGTAGGGGTGCAAGTCGAGTGGATTGGGCTGGGTTTATGGTCAACCTGGGCTCAGTCTTAAAATTCGGGCTTGAAGCCTGAGTTTGAGGTCAAACTTGATCTTTTCATCTGAATCCAGCCTCACTATAATTTGATGCATTTGAATTGGGCTCGATTTGGTCAATGAACCTACTCTAAAATTATATATATATGTATTTATACAAATATATA